CACGTTCATACATCCAGCCATTCATACAGACACGTACGCACACCCACACATACATACATACATACATTCCCTCGTCCATACGTACGAGCGTACGTACATACAGTCACACAGGCATACATACCATTTCTACATACATGCATGCATGCATGTATGTATACACAGACATATGCATGCCAACTTTCTATTTGTATGTCTGTACGTCTGTATGCAGGTAGGTCGGTAGATCGGTCGGTCGGTCGGTCGGTCGGTGTATGTATGTATGTATGTATGTATGTATGTATGTGTGTATGTATGTATGTATGTATGCATGTATGTAATGTATGTAACGTATGTATGTATGCATGGATGTACGTATGTATGTATGTATGTATGTATGTGTGTATGTATGTAATGTAATGTAATATAATGTAATATAATGTAATGTAATGTAATGTACTGTAATATAATGTAATGTAATGTAATGTAATGTAATGTAATGTAATGTAATGTAATGTAATGTAATGTAATGTAATGTAATGTAATGCAATGCAATGCAATGTATGTATGTATGTATGTATGTATGTATGTATGTATGTATGTATGTATGTATGTATGTACGCATGTCTATATGCATGTCTGTTTTTCTGCCTCCTCTGGCCCAGCCACAGGGGGGCTTGGCCAGCCCTGGTGGATTCTGTGTGCAGACTTCGCCGCCTCAGGTCGAGCCGACGGGGCGATCCCGCCCACGCCACAGGCGCCACGAGCGCCGCGCTGGGCCGCTGGCGGAGCCGCTGGCCGCCGCCGAGCAGCGCGGGTCTCCGCTGCTGCGCTCCGAGTCCCCGGCCGGCGGCTCGCCGCGGCCCAGCGGTGCGGTCCTAACGCAGACGGACGCCGCCACGAAGCAAGCTCGGGGGCGTCAAGAGCGGGGTGATGACTAGGGTTAAGTCGGGCCTGTCCCTCTACAGGAGGAAGATTCAAACATGTTTTTTTTGTGCGCATTTTTGATCATTTTTGGATATGTTTGATTTTCCGCCTAGAATCCTTGTAGGGGGACACGCCCGACCAAAGACTAGGGTGTGTGGATGTCATGGCGGGGGCCATTCTATCTCTCCATATTTCATGGCGCCTCTTATGAATTTCAATGCGTCCCCGGCCCCCCCCCCAGGCCGCGCACGTGCCGCGGGCCATGATTTGCGCCCCCCTCTCTGACGCCACCCTCTCTGACGCCCCAGATAAGCGGGTCCAGGGGGAAACGGGTCCTGAGGCGTTTCGCCGTCTTCGGGCATGTTTGTGGGTTCTTGGATGCTGCTCTTCCAGCCCATGGATGCGTTCCAGCCGCTGCTCCGGGGGTGTCCGACTCGTCCCGAAGGGCCGCCAGTTTGAGTTGTGGCGCGAAGGCCGAGGGGACCCAGATCGCCATGAAGGAGAAGGGCTCCTGCAGGAAACGTGTCGTGATGTATCTCGCCGTTTCTGGGCTCTCGGGGCCCTCCTCGGGCCCTGGGACCGTCAGACACCGAGTCGTGATGAAGAGCTGTTCCCGGGTCCAGGCCTCGTTGTCCAGGACCCGTTTTCTTCAGGAACTTTTCCCTTCCTGCTAGGAGGTCCAAGGTCGTGCAGGAGTTCGCCAGCGGCGCCACAGTGACGTGTCGCGAGATGATCCAGCGGAGGAGCCGAAAGCCGAGGAAGGAGCCGAAGGAGGAGCCGAGGAAGGAGCCGAAGAGGGCGGAGGCAAAAACAAGATGGTCCTGGCGTCGGCAGGCGGTGGAGTCCTCCTCCTCATCGTTGGCAGCGCCGTCGGGTATTACTACACGCAAAAGTCCAGCAAGAATAGCAAGGGCAAAGGCAAGGGCAAGGGAGTGTCTGCCGCGGGGAAAGAAGCGGCTGCCGCGGCGAGTCAGGCAGCGCAGGCCATGACTTCCAAGTCGGCAAAAGATGCCATGAAGACCGCGGGCAGCAAGGCGGCGGCAGCTGGTGCAGGCGCTGCGGCTGCCGCGACCAAAGCGGTTGGCACCGCCGCCAAGAGCAAGGCCAAAGCCAGGGCCAAGGGCAAGCATGAGACCAAGGCAGAGCCGAAGGAGACGCCCGGACAGGATCTCAAGGAGACTATGGCAGAGCCGAAGGAGACTTCCAAGCCAGATAGCAAGAAGGAGACTTCCAAGCCAGATAGCAAGAAGGAGAAGACGGCGCTTCCTGCGGTTGAAAAAACAGCAGAGGAGGAGAACCTCGTGGTGGACCCAGTTGTCTTGAAGGCCGCTCTCAGGATCCAGGCTTATTTCAGGGGTTGGAAGGCCCGCAAGCTTGTCGCGGGAGTCCGGACATGGAAGCCAAACCAGAAGGTGTGCTTGTTCATCGAGTGCATCAATGGCAAGGACATGCCCAGCGTGAACACATTTGGCGGATGCGATCCATACGTAGAGTTCCGGCTTGTCCAGGGCCAGGACCCTCTTTTGCACAAGGGCGGATGCGTGACCACCCAGGCGCCGAATGGGATGTCCGTCAAGACAGAGGCAGACGACGGAAATTCAGAACCCACCTGGAACGCGAAGTTTGAGTTGAAAGAGGTACCTCTGCGCAAGGACCAGTTCTTACAGGTCATCCTGTGGGACAAGAACACATTCACAGACACCCCAATTGGCCACCAGACGTTCATGGTCGAGAAGCTCTTGGAGGGCCTGACCTTCGTCGCGGGCACTGAGCAGCCCAAGCGAAACTCGCGGAAGGTCAGCTTCAAGAGTCTCTTGGAGGAAGGGGTCAAGCTGACTGCGACCGTACAGACCAAGTTTTCCTATGTGGACATGGTGAACTTCAATTTCCGTGTAGCCAAGGGCTCTCGATTGCCGAACGTCAAGCTGTTAGGCGCCGGGATCAATAGCTTTGTCGAGCTCCGGATGGTGACTGAGGACCCCAAGAAAATCGATTTCGAGTATTCGCCGCCAAGCACTTGCTTGTGGAGCAGCAAGACCCGCATTGTGCAGGGCAATACAGATCCGAAGTTCGACCAGAATTTCGAAGTCGTTGTCCCAGCTATCGCTGCCTTGAAATTGCAGGCTATAATCTGGGACAGCAATTCGCCCCTGCCTGACTCTCCCATCTGTCACAGCGTAATGGACCTTAGTGGGGTGGTCGCCGAAATGGCCCAGGTGCCCAAGGAGAACAAGCTCAAGTTTACGCACTTGCCTGCAGTCTCCCCGGCTGGCGATGTCCGCAAGACCACATTGACGGTGGCGATCGGCGTCTCGCAGATCTTCGACCAGGGTAAGGACGAGGACTGAGGTCCCACCTTCACATCATATCCTGCCGTCCCTCATCGCCATCGCCCTCTTCCTCCTCCTCCTCCTACTCCTCCTCTACTTTACCTTTTAGATCACTTCTCCTCGCTTGAGCACCAGATGAGTCGCCAGGACGGGTCGAGCGTGTCGCATGAGGCCTTCTTACAACGTCTGATCCAAACCATTGAAACCTCGAACAGTTGAGTGTAGGGATGGTGTCGTTTCCAAACTTGATCTCTCGACCGAGCGGCAAGAGCGCAGCGCGCATTCGTCTCAAACCCTTGCAATAGTTTCAGGAATTGAGCGGGATTGTTTCAGACTTGCGCTCGCGCCCTGGCGCCGCGCACAATCCTCTTGACAGCTTGCAGCAGTTACCAGATTGGAGAGCAGTTGGCTTTCAAAATGGGGCTCTCTCCTCAGTGCCGCGCACAATTTCATGTCGCAAGATTTGCGACAATGGAGGCTTTTGTCTAAGCGCCGCGCACATTCGTTTTCAGAGCAGAGTGCGGAGCAAGTATAAGAATGGAGGACACCTCCTTCTCAACATGGGGCTTTCGCTGGAGACTACATTTCAAGTAGACGACCAGAAGTTTCAATATGGGTTTCATCTGCACGAATGGAGGGCGGTTTCCCGTCAAAATGGGGCACTCGCTTGAGATGTGTTCGAACCTCATGACCCGAAATGCTACATTCGCACAACAGTATCACGGATGTGGGGCTGCCCTTTTCAAAACGGGGATTTCTCTGGACACCTCACTTCACTGTTAACACCTCTTACCTTTCGCATTCTTTCTCACCCGCTAGATGGATGCCAGGCCGTTCCGTTTCAAAACGGGGCTCTCGCCTGATTGGCAGGCCCACGGGGGTGGTGATCTTTTCAACGCAAAGAAAGGATCCGGGGTGGACAGAACCCCCAGCCTGACACATCGTTGAGGGAATTGTCCGTTGTCGGTTCTCGAGAGGGCGCCGCGGCCGTCATTCTCCAGGCTTGCCCCCGCCAGGTTTGGCCCAGAGGTCTCTTTCACTGAACCACGTTTTGCGGATGCTCTCGGAGGCCCCTTGAAGGTTTGGGAAGTTCTCGGAGGTCGCCGCCGTTGCTGCCGTCATCGTCGTCGGATGAGGATGGGAGGAGGAGGAGGGGGAGGATGATGAAGGGGAGCGGGAGACGGAGGAGGGGTTTCTGCCCATCCCCGAAAGGACCCCCCCTCCTCTCCTCCCCCCGGTCCTCTCCCAGGGTCCTCTCCGAAGGGCCAGCGCGCTCGCGCACGCCTCTCGCCCATCTTCGGGTCGCCCTTTGCGGCGATGACACTCCGTTCGCTCGCTCGCTCCTCCCCTCTCCGAGGCGCCTGGGCGCCCGTGCAATGCAAGGGCTCCCTCGAGGGCGCGAAGTTATTCGCGCTTCGCGGTCCTCGTTCCTTCTCCCCCTCCTCCTCGTCCTCCTATTCTCCCTTTGGGAGGGCGGCGCGAGAGCGCGAAGTTATTCGCGCTTCGCGCTTCGCGCAGCGCGAAGCGCGAAGTTGGGAGCCCTAGGCAATGGCTCACGACGCTGGCAGGCGAGCATCTCTCGACCGGGCCAGCTTCCAGCTACTAGCCACCCTCTTCCCCCTCTCCTCTCGCCTTCTCCTCCCGAGGCCAGGCGACGACGCCGCGCAGTTGGGGAGGGATGATACGGAGTGTTTGCCTCCATGTGTTTGACGTTTCCCACTCTTCGTGGGCCCTCCTGGAGGATCCTCGTCGCCTCGGCTGAATCCGCTCCGAGATCCTGGTCAGAGTGCGCTCCAGGCCCGGTCTGGGGGGATGTCTTTTCAATGGGGGAGGATGTGGCAGGTGGTCTCGTGTCTCAGATGCCAGATCCTTTTGAGGAGAGGTGGGGTGAGATGAGGAGGAGGACGACGACGACGAAGAAGAGGAAGTGGAGGAAGAGGAGGAAGAGGAGGAGTAGGAGAGGGAGGCAGGAGGGGTGATAAGGATAATGGGGTGAGGGAGAGGAGGACGGGGAGGATAACACGATTCGGAGGAAGAGGGACACGAATGAGAAGGTGTCTCATTGTGATGATGGCTGTGGTGGCAATGGTGGAGGACAATAATGATCTATACGGGGTTGATAGGAAGGGGAGATAGGGTCGGGACTGGATAAGAAGACGGGGACGAGCAAGGGGGAAGGAATAATATGGAGGTCTGTGAGAGGGAGGAGGAATGTGCTTGATTGGAGCGGGAGACAAGTCGACGCTTCGGAGGATTCAGATCATGTTTACGGAGGAATGAGGGAGGAGGTGGAAGAGGAGGAGGAGGAGGAGTACAAAGGATGGATGAGGACGATGAGGATGAGGAGGACGATGAGGATGAGGGGAGGAGGAGGGATGATGAGAATGAGGCGGAGTTGGAGGAATAGGAGGAGGAGGAGGAGGCGGAGGCGGAGGAGGAGGAGGAGGATGAGCAGGAGGAGGAGGAGGTGGGGGGATGAGGACCATCAGGGCGGCGTGTGACCATGAAAGTGGAGCAGTAGTGTGGGGAGGGTGGGTGGAGGAGGAGAAGGCATACGAGACGGAGTATGAGGCGTACAAGTATTTGGAGGATGACTTGTAGGGTTTGGAGGACCAGAAGAATTGATAAGGGAGGACAGCTGATGATATGAAGCAAGATGCGGAGGAAAGGCAGATGTGTCGGAGGTGGGGGTAGAAGTGGGGGAGGATTGCGAAGGCCTTACGGCCGGTGCCGCCGACCCTGAATGGCGACGACGACGACGAGCGCTCTCGGGGGCCTCTTTGGGGTAGTTTGGGGGCCTCTTGGGAAGCTCTTGGGGGCCGCTTGGAAGCCTCGTGGGGGCCTCTTGGCGCTTCCTGGGGGTCTCTTGGGGGCTTCTTGGGGGGCTTCTTAGGGACCTCTGGGGGCCTCCTGAGAGCTTCTCAGGCTGAGGGCTCGAAATGTCCGTTCGGATCCCCCGTCTGGGCTCCTCCTTGGAGACGTCTTGGGTGCCTCTTCGGCTGTCTTGGAGGCCTCTTGGTCGGTCTTGGGGCCCTCTTGGGTCGTTTTGGGGCTCTCTTGGAGGCCTCTTGGGCCATCTTGGTGCGGTCTTGGGGGCTTCTTGGCCTGTCTTGGAGCGTCGGGAAGCTGACAAGGCGAGAATGCCGAAATCTTTCAAAAAAGTCGGAAATCGATGATTCTTGCCCCTTGGGATCCTCTTGGAAGTACTCTTGGAGGCCTCTTGGGGCGTTCTGGAAACCTTTTGAGCCGTCCAGAGCCTACTTTGGCGAGTTGGACCGGTACTTCGGCGATTCGTGGCCCTCGAGGACCGTGTTGGGGGTATCTTGGGACAGTTGCCGCGTTCTGCGGCTTTTCTTGGCCGCCCAACCGCCCGAGGGGGAGTCGAATCTGCCCCTGGACCCCCCCAGGACCCCTCCCCCGGGACCCCTCCCCCGGGACCCCCCTCCTGGGACCTCACCCCGGGGACCCCCCCCTCGGCGGGGAAGGGATCAAAGGGAAAGGGCTTCACTTCGACTCAACTGCAACGTTGCTCAATTTCGCTGTGGCTGGCGCGCTCGAGGAGGAAAACCCTGTGAAAGTGGGGGGAACGGCGACGGGCCTAAGGAACAGGAGGGAAGCGAGCGGCGAAGGCGACGACGGCGACGACGACAACGACAACGACCACGACGACGACGACGACGACGACGACGACGACGACGACGACGACGACGACGACGACGACCACGACGACGACGACCACGACGAGTCAAACTGAACAGCCTCTCTCACGCGCCGATAGGGTCGGCGGATTTTGATGATCTGGATGTCGTACATCCTCCCCTCGTTCCTGGAGGAGTAACCTCGAGGTCCCTCCTCCCCCCCATCCTCCTTCCCACTCCTCGGCACGCCCCCTCTGGAGGAGCGACCTCGAGATGGAGGAGGAGGAGGAGGAGGAGGAGGAGGAGGAGGAGGAGGAGGAGGAGAGGAGGAGGAGGAGGAGGAGGAAGACGAGGAGGAAGACGAGGAGGAGGAGGAGGAGGAGGAGGAGGAGGGGAGGAGGGGAAGGGAGAAGGGAGGGGAGAGGGGGAGGGAGGAGCAGGAGGAGGAGCAGGACGAGGAGGAGGAGGAGGACGACGACGACCACGACGACGACGATGACGACGACGACGACGACGACGGCTGCCGCTAACGCCCTGCGCCGCGCTCCTGGCCGCCCGCGGCGGGGGGGGGGCGTCAGGCCCAGATCTGCGGACTGGCCTCCGAGCAGGGCCGGCCCCTCAACGGCAAGGCCTGGGGGCGGCGCGCGCCCCGCCCCCCCCCCCCGGCCGCGGGGCCCTGCTCGCCGCCGCCGCCGGGGCCAGAGCCGAGGGTCCAGGGGAGACTAGGGCGCTGTACAGTCAGACCGAGGTACAGGGTCGAGGTCGGTTCGGGGAGGGTTCCCTCGTGTTCTTCGTGCTTGTCGGAGGTTCTTGTGCATCCAAAGGGGGGGGGGTGCCTTTGGATGCTCTGTGCGTTTTGGCCGACGGAGGGTCTCATGTTCTTCAGGGGAGTTCTTCTGGCCTAGGTCCGACTGTAAGCCAGGACCCGGCGAGATCCAGCGGCAGGGACCCATCCATGGAGAATTTGTTTCGACCCATGGCTGCAGTTGCCTCGGGTGCGCCAGTGTCCGGGTTTAGGAACATGTCTTCGCTGACGGGGCCCTGCAGAGCAGGCAGGGGTCGGAGGGTCGTGCCGCATCGCCGATACGTCGGCGACGTGCGGCGCGATCCGGAGTCCGATCCTTCCCGTTCCGACGTCGTCGGCGCATCGGCTGGCGGTGCCTCGGCGATCTCTTGGCCCAGTCCTCTCTGGACTGAGTTCTTGGAGGCCTCCACTTCCGCCGCTTGGCTTCGGCGCACTCCTCTGCAACCACTTGCGAGTCCTACCCCCACGGGTCCCATCGACGACAGGGTGTTGGACGCCTCCGCCGGAGCCCCCCAGCTGCAGACATCCTTCGAGCTAATCCTGAAGGATCTTTACACCCCCCCAATAAGTGAAATTGATTATGTTTCGGCAGCCTCAATGACGGACTGGTGTCCCACCAAAAGAGGGACACTTTTTTTTGTTTCCCCGCGGAGCCCGCCAGCAGCGCTCTCGTGGAAAATCTTGGCTCAGACACTTGGCACTCAGAAGCTTTGTCCTGGGAGCTCCATCCTGATAAGGACAGTTGATGCTCGGGCCCCGCGCGGGCCCTCAACAAATCTATCCTCTGTTGCGTGGGCAATACGAAACTATGGCGAGTTCTGTATTGCCTACACTGCAAAATCTCCATGTTGGCCGCGCGCGCCGATCAGGCACCAGTAAGAGTTCTGCCCGCAGTGCGAGGCAGACGACTTCGAGCAAACTTGCGAATAAAAACGAAGCGTTTCCACTGCAATTCTCATGAGACGATGCTTACAAATCCTCCCGCGTGCAGGGTAGCCCACAAGAAACGATGTCGTTGGGTAGGAACCTAAAACATTACCCAGCCCGCCCAACAATAGAGGGAGACTTCCAAGTCGCCGCGCGCGCCGACCAGGCGCCAACAGGAGTTCTGCCAGCAGTGCTAGGCAAACGACTTTGAGCAAACTCGCGAATCAAAACGGAGCAACTCCTGTTGCAATTCCAATGAGAAGATACTCACAAATCCTCCCGCGTGCAGGGTAGCCCAGAATTTGGAGAAATAGCCCCCGAACAGTATCCATCCTCCCAACAAAAGAGGGACACTACTCCCATGTCGCCGCGCGCGCCGACCTGGCGCCTGCAGGAGTTCTGCCAGGAGTGCTAGGCAAACAGACTTGAGCAGAGTCGCGAATCAAAACGAAACAATGTCTTGTGCAATTCCCATGAGAAGATACTCACACATCCTCGCGCGTGTAGGGTAGCCCACAATGGATCTTCCGCTGGAGAACAACCCCTAAACATTATCCAGCCCGCCCAATAATAGAGGGAAACTAATTCCACGTGGCCGCCCGCGCCGACCAGGCGCCAGCAGGAGTTCTACCGGCAGTGCTAGGGACAGGCGAGTTTGAGCAAACTCGCAAATGGAAGAGACACACATTGGCATTGCAGTTCTCATGAGAGCATGCTCACACATCCTCCCGCGCGTAGGGTCGCCCACAATGGATTCTTCCTCCTACCCGTTCCCCCTCCTCCTCCTCCTCCTCCTCCTCCCTCTCCTCCCTCCTCCTCCTCCTCCTCCTCCTCTTCCTCCTCTCCTCCTTCCTCTCCCTCCCCCTTAGCAGGGCCAGCGCAGAGCAACCCAGGGCGCGTGATGGAGAACCCCCGAACATTATCCAGCCCACCCAACCATGTCGGAGAATGAACCCCACCGCGCCATCGGCGCCGACCAGGCGCGAGAAGGGGTTCTGCGAATTGTAACAGGCAGGCCACTATGAGAACACTCCTGAGTCAAAACGCATCACATTTCTACTGCACTGTTCGTGGGAAGGTGCACTCAAATCCTCCCGCGTACAGGATGGCCCACAATTGGGGTATTCCGCTGGAGAAGTGTCTTCCAAACATTATCCAGCCCGCCAAACAATAGAGGGAAACTAATCCCATGCCGCCGCGCGCGCCGACCAGGCGCCAGCAGGACTTCCGCCGGCAGTGCTGGGCAAGCATATTCGCGCAATGTTGCAATTCAGAACGAAACAATTTCTATTGCCCTCAATGGAAGGATGCTCGCGAATCCTTTCGCGGGCAGCGTGGCCCACAGTGGATGAGTCCGCTGGGGACATGCCCCCCAGCAAGCACTATCCAGCCCACCCAACAATAGCGGGAAATCAATGAGTCCCACGTCGTCACGCGCGTTGACCACTCGCCGGCGGGAGTTTTGCGGGGCGGTGCTAGGCGGGCGAGTCTGAGCGAATTCCCAGACCAAATCGAAGCACCAGTCTGTTGCATTCCCATTGGAAGCGATGTGAGCAAACTCGCGAATCAACCGTGCAAGCTTGCGAATCAAAACGAAGCGCGCTTGCGTTGCAATTCCCATGGGAAGATGCTCACACATCCTTCCGCGTGAAGGATCGTCGCCTAGTATGCGTACTTCCGCTGGAGGAATTTCTCCCGAACATTATCCAGCCCGCCCAACAATAGAAGGCATCTGCTAGTCCAACGTCGCCGCGCGTGCCGACCAGGCGCCATCGGGAGTTTCGTCAGTCGATGCTGGGCAAGCGATTTTGAGCGAACTGCCAGATCAATACGAAGCAATGTCTATTGAAATCCCAATTTACGGATGCTCGTAAATCCTCCTGCGTTCAGCGCGGCCCACAGTTGATTAGTCCGCTGGGGGAATAGCCCCCAGGCATTATCCAGACCACACAACAATAGAGGAAAACGATTTCATCCCACGTCGCCGCGCGCGCCGACCTGGCGCCGGCTTGCCGGGCGGTGCTTGGCAGGCGACTTTGGGCGTGCTCCTGGACCAGAGCGAAGCACTTGTCTATTGCAATCCTCCTGGGAAGCTGCTTCCGCACCCCGCCGCGCGCACGGTGGCCCGCAATGGGTTACGCCGATGGAGACGAACCCCCAGACTTTATCCAGCCCGCCCAACCATAGGGGTGCACTAATCCCATGTTGCCGCGCGCGCCGACCAGGCGCCAGCAAGAGTTTGGCTGGCAGCGTCAGGCGAGCGACATCGAGCAAGCTTGCGCTTCCCATTGCAATCCCGATGAGAAGACACTCGCAAATCCTCGCGCGAACAGGGGGGCCCGCGCACGCCGACCGGGCGCCGGCAGGAGTTCCACGGGCAGTGCTAGGCAGGCGAGTTTGAGCCACTTCGCAAGTCAATATGAAGCACATTTGTTTTGCAGTTCTCATGGGAAAATGCCCTCACATTCCCCCGCCAGGAGGGTCGCCCAACATTGATTATTCCATTTGGGCAATGACCTCCAAACGTTATCCAGCCCGCCCGACAGTAGAGGGGAACTAGCCCAGAGTCGCCGCGCGCGCCGACCAGGCGCCAGCAGGAGTTCCGCCTCCTCCCCCCCCTGTAGCAGGGCCGGCGCAGGGTGGCCCAGGGCGCGCGATCCTCTGGTGGCATAACGCCCGAGCATTATCCAGCCCACCCAACTGTTATGGGAAACTAACCAGCCGCGCCAGTGGTGCCGACCAGGCGCGAGAAGGGGTTCTCCGAGCAGTGGCAGGCGGGGCAACATAAGAAAACCCCTGAATCAAAACGAATCACCAACCTGTTGCAATCCTCTCGAGAAGATGCCCAGAAATCCCCCCGCGCGCAGGGTGGCGCGCAATGGGTTATTCCGCTGGAGCAATAACCCCCAAGGCATTGTCCAGCCAGCCCAACAGTAGAGGGGGACTAAACCCATGTCGCCGCGCGCGCCGACGAGGCGCGAGCAGGAGTTCCGCCGGCAGTGCGAGGCAGGTTGGAGCGAATTCGCAAATCAGAACGAGGCCATTTCTATTGCAATCCCAGTGGATGGATGCCCACGACCCCCCCCGCGCGCAGCGTAGCCCACAGTGGATTAACCCGCTGGAGAAATCGCACCGATGCACTGTCCAGCCCACCCAACAACAAAGGGACAGTAGCTCATCCCACGTCGCCCCGCGCGCCGACCAGGCGCCCGCGGGATTTTTTCCCGGCGGTGCTGGGCGGGCGAGTTTGAGCAAACTCCCGGACCAAAACGAAGCACCTGGCTATTGCAATCCCCATGGAAGCTGTTTTCAAATCTCCCCGCGTGCCAAGATGGCCCGCAATGGTTCTCCCGCTGGAGAGATGCCCCATAACATTTTCCCAGCCCGCCCAACGAGAAAGGGAGACTGATCTCATGTCGCCGCGCGCGCCGACCGGGCGCTGGCAGGAGTTCTGCTGGCGGCGCTAGGCAGTCGAGTTTGAGCGAATGGCTTTTTTTTCCGAATCGCAGCGGAGCACGCTTGCATTGCAATCCGCATCAGAAGATGCTCACGCATCCTCCCGCGCGCAGGGTAACCCTCCACTGGAAGAAATTACTCCGACGGTAGGACCCCGCATGAGAAAATGTTTAATTTGCCTGGGGGTACCCTCCTGCCCCCTCCCTTCTCCCACCTTCTCCTGCCTCCTCCTCCTCCTCCTCCTGCCGGCTCCTCCTCCTGCCTCAACCCCTGTCTCCTCCCCCGGCCTCCTCCACCACCACCTCCTCTTTTCCTCCTCTCCTCCTTTTCCCTCCTCCTCCTCCTCCTCCTCCTCCTCCTCCTCCTCCTCCTCCTGCCTCCTCTTTGGGCCTCCTGCCTCCTCCTGGGGCCTCATGGGGCCTTTGGGGCCTTCTGGGCCTC